TTAAAAAACAAAAAGAACAAACACAACCATTTTCTACCAAATAGGAGCTCACTTATAAATGAAAAAGTCAACAAAGATACACTGTAAAAGTCTTCTTTGATTTTCATAACTGTCATAAACATAAAGCATTTCTACAGAGACACTTGCCCAATGGAACCCCATGTTTACGGTGAGTCAAAAAATGACTAAAAGCAAGTCCCCGCCCTCTAGACTTGCCACCTAACAAAGGCACAGGTAGCAGGATGAAGATTTGGAACCAAAACACCAAGAGGAAAACTGCACAAAGTACTTGGGCTTTGGAGTCTTTGCAGGAGAATTAAAGAAGAACATATGTAAAGCATCCAGTATGGCAACTGATGCACAGTAGGTGCTCAATAAGTGGTAGCCATTATTATTATACTTTAGTATGTAATACTTACTGATCTTAGGTACCTGCTGGAAGATATATAATTTTTAGCTCTAAACTCCTAACATTTTTTTTTTAACATTTACTTTTGACATGCTTCATTTAACTCTATTTCATAGGATGGTTGTGAGAATGAAACAGAAAAGCACAGAAAGTCAGCCCCTGGCAAACAACAATGCTTCCTCCCTATCACACTCAGAATGGAATTTCTCCTGCCAACATAGAGTTGAAGAAAGAAAGAAAGTGTTTACGTAGTCCAAAGTGACGATGAACATAAAGGGACAGAATGACATTTTAATTTAATAAAACATCATGGCATATCTTTTGACCCAGTATCTGGATTCCTGGAAATTTTTCTTAAATAGTCAGAAAAATATAAAAAGATCCATATATTAAAGATTTTATCACATTTATAAGAGCAAAAAATTAGAAACAACCTAAAAGTGCATCAATAGGGGGCTAAATAATGGTAGGCTCACAGAATGCAATTATATGGAGCAACTAAAATTATGAGATATTTATTGACATTAAATTATATTTGAGATGAAAATGTACAAAATTAGACATAGGTTGATCTTTAAAAAAACCCTATCTATAAAATATATCTGTGAATGTAATCTGTGTATGTATACATTTAAATGTGTCTAAAAACAGATATACTGAAATATTAGCAGTGATTTCTAAGCAGTAGACATATAGGCATATATTTATAAAAATACATAGGAATATATTTTCATTCTCTTCATTCTTTTCTATATTTTTAAAGTCTTTATAATGACTGCATATCATAAGAGAAAGCAAAATCTATAATAAAAACTTAAAATAAAAAACACAGCTATCGACAAGCAGTATAAATGAAGATTATGAAATAGAATATCAGGAGGTCTGAATTTCTGTTTTCGACTCCTAATCCTTTGCTATGCGTCCTGAGCCAGATTTGTGTTTCAATTTCCCCATCTATACAGTATAAGCTATTAAAATAAATCTCACAATAGAGAATAAAATGAGAATGAATGCTTCAGAAAGTCTGTAAATGTCACACCTATCAGCTAACTACAAATAGAGGACTTTCTCAACTTTTAAATTCCCCTTCCCTTATGATTCTATAGCTTTCATAATTTAAAAACAATTTTTTAAATCTATTGATTTTAGAGTGAGAAAGGGAGAGAAATAAAACATCACTCTGTTGTTCCACTTATTTATACATTCATTGGTTGATTCTTGTATGTGCCCTGATCCAGGATCGAACCTGCAAACCTTAGCATTATCAGGACGATGCTCTAACTAACTGAGATACCTGGCCAGGGCATTTTATACTTTTTTTAAATATATTTTTTAAAGATTTTATTTATTTACCTTTAGAGAGAGGAAAAGGGAGGGAAAGAGGGAAAGAAACAGTAATGTGCAAGAGAAACATCCATTGGCTGCCTCTCACAGGCGCTCAACAGGGGATCTGGCCCCCCAACAGGGGATCTGGCCTGCAGCCCAGGCACATGCCCTGGTGGGGAATCAAACTGGCAGCCCTTTGGTTTGCAGGCCAGAGCTCAATACACTGAGCCACACTAGACGGAGCTATAATTTTTACATAGATAACAAACGCATGATCAAGTACTCAGGGTTTTAGCCTCCACTAGGCTCTGGACACGTTCAAGTAAACATTTTCACATTGGTTAGATAAGACTGAAGTCCAGACCCTCACAGTCACAGCAAATTCACAGCCTAAACTGCTCTTGCTAATTTTCAGAGGTAGAACTAAACAATTCATGTTATGTCCAACTGTCAAAGTACGTTTAAAATTATATTTTAAATTCATAGCATTCAGGGAATATACAGGATGGGGCAAAAGTAGGTTTACAGTTGTTTGTATGGAAAATAATACAATAATTACTAAATAATAATAGAATAAACTGTTCTGCATACTCACAACTATAAACCTACTTTGCCCACCCAGCAACTTCTTTCTTTAGACCTGAACTTAACAGCAGACAACCGTTGAGGATGACAGTCCTGATCACCTCTTCTCCCTGGCTGCACGCAAGGCAGGCCCTCAATGGCCTAATGCTCTCCCCCCTCCCCCATTCCAACATGTGTTCTACTCAGAGAATTCAAACATACGTACAAAGAGGAAAGTTTTATTCTCTTTCTTCTTTGCAAGTGCTATTTATTTCCCCTCTCAAGAAGGTCCTCTACCCACTACTTGGTGTGTTCCAAATTCAAATGTTGCTTTCCAATCACGTACACCAAAACAGAGTTGGGCTGGCCCCTCCATGCTCCCAACGCAACTTCTGAACATTCACAGTATATTTTTCATCAGAACTCATCAGTGATAGAATTCCAAATTGTTTTTTGTCTGACTCCCATGCTGAACACTGAGGTATGTGAGGGCAGAGACTAAGTATTATTCTTCTGGATAATCCCAGAAGTTGGCATAGTGGTAGGTACTGAAAAATAATTTCTTGAATAAATAGAATAGAAATTTGCAATTTTATGTGGTCCTCCATACAACACCCACGTGTAGGGAATCACCTATTCGGCTCCCCTTCTAGCCTGCCAATGGGTTCCATATAAACTAAAGCAAAACAAGAATGAAGTACCCGTGAAAGAATTAGAAAAACAATGCCGCTGAGGGAGATAATTTCAGTGACTCCAATTAAAGCCCCCCCCCCCCAATCTTTAAAGGTTAAAAAAGCCAAGTAACTACCAAAATAAAATATATTTCAAATAAATGAGAATTAATCTTAAAAACAAAATGTGAAAAACTGATCATCACCAAGAAAGCACCAGAGTTCAAGAATTCTAAAAACAGGTAAACTCTTAACAGATCAATTTGATTGCAGAAAGGTCAGCACTGTCTTAAGCCAAAAACACTGATGCAACAACTGCCTATCATGAGTGAAACACTCTGTCACTTTACTCACTTCCTTCCCTGAAGGAACTTCGTATCTAGAGGAAGACAGGTATCAGAGGGACTACAATTCAAAATACGATGTAGCAGGTGCAATGATAGATGTGGCCCAAACTATTTTAAGAGTGGAAAGGTCTTTAGGATTAGGGTGGGTAGGAGGGAGCAAAGTTCCAGAAAGGCTTCCAGGAAGTTGATGCTTGCTATGGGCAGGATCTCACCAGGAATAGCAGGAAGAGGTTCCCAACACACCAGAAGGCATAAAAAAGGCATTGAGGCAAGAAATAGCACGGATTCAAAGAGCCACCTTGGATACAGAGGCCATAGGCTTCCCTTGAGACTTGTGGCACTCACACTGGGGTACAGAGAACTCACTGCAGAAAGAATCACACATCTTCAATCATGCCCCTCGAGGTAATACAAGGGAACCTACACACTGGCCTAGAAGGCTTACTTTTAAGGACATCTGAGGGATGCAGAAAGTTCTGGAGTGAGCCTCAATTTTAAATCCTGACCCCCATTAGGTATATGACCATAGATAAGTTACTCTTTAAGCCTCAACTCACTCCTCTGTTAATGGGAATGAACCTCATATATTTAGTTATTAAAAAGGATATCAAGACATATGTAAATCGATTGTGCCTGTTTAGTAGGCACTCAAAGCATGCAAGTTCCATTACCCATTCTCATGATTTGCTCCCAACAGAGCTTTCCTTTCCTTTTTATGTCATTACAGATTGGACCTCATTTGCTGGGTCCACGGGGCACCAGTCTACATACCTATCACATGCTTTTTGAGCTTGTCTTCTCTAAGTCCTGTGCTAGGTATTGGTGCCTTGTCTGTCCCTCCCTGAACCTCATATTCATCTCCTAATTTCCTGTTTACTTTCTGTCTTTAAATAGTAATCTTTATTTTCTTCTCTCACCCAGCCCACAGAAAACTTCTTGTCCATGATGTTCCACTGAACATGCTTTCCAGGCGCTACCAGTATGCCCCACAAAGATCAGCACTAACCCCAAAGCCCTTTCATTTCTATTGCAGTAAAAACCCTGCAGAATCACAATCAGTTATATTTATTACATACATAAATAGCCTATGGATGAGTCTTTGTATATATTTGGTATTCTGGTGACAACACTGCCAAGTAATTCACTTGCCCAGAGGGAGGGCTCTCCTTAGATGCCTGGCATTTGGCTCCATGAAGTCACTATTTTTTAGTTTTTCTAGATCCAAGATGAGACATGAGCTCAGCCAGTGACTTTCTACTATTGAACCAGTTGCATTTTACTGATTAACTGATAAATGTTTGGGGGACTTAATTTGAGTGCTAAAACATAAAATTACTGAATTTGGTTTCTCTTTTTTAAATTCTTACCTGAAGACATGTTCATTGATTTCAGAGAGGAAGGGGGAGAGTGACACTGATGTGAGAGAGAAACACTGACTGGTAGCCCCTTGCCCCACACACCCCAACCAGGGATTGAAACTGCAACCCAGGACATATCCCGACTGGGACAACACTCCAACCAACTGAGCCACGCTGGCCAGGGCTAACTTCTTTCTCTCTCTTAAAATTTTTTTTTTTAATTTATTGATTTGAGAGAGAGAGAGAGAGAGAGAGAGAAACATCAATTTGTTGTTCCACTCACTGATGCACTCATTGGTTGATTCTTGTATGTGCCCTGAGTGGGGATTGAACCCACAATCTTGGTGTATTGGGATGATGCTCTAACCAACTCAGCTTCCCAGCCAGGGCTGGCTTCTCTTTTGAGGAGATACACTGAAAGCCAATCAGAAATGTTCACAGTTAAAACAAATGAAGAGAGAGAACACTGCCCCAAAGTAAAACCTAGTTGATTTTCTTGGTTCAAACAGTATTATCTGATGGATATTTTGGTGATAGATGTTAACTAGACTTATTGTGGTGGTCATTCTGCACTATGTACATATATCAAAATCATTATGTTTTATACTTGAAACTAATATATCAATTATATCTCAATGAAGAAAAACAGCATTTATTAAGTTTATGTCATGTACTGTGCCAGATGCATAGATACACACACACATACACATACATATATCCTCATTTGTCCGAGAGAAATGATTACCTCACAAGGCTGTTCTGAGGATTAAAAATTTATATATATATACACAGCAGCACTGCTATTGGATGGATGAAGATATAGACTCAGACAGGTGAAGAAGTGACTTGTCTGTGGCCGTGATACTATTAAGTGATAGAATGAAAATCTGAACACAGTCCTGGCTCAAAATGCAGAGTGCTTTCCATTGAACCATAGCTACCCCAACAGCCACATCCCTTATCCGTAATATTATAACGACAGTCACTGCTAATTTATCTAGCTCTTCTTATGTGGCAAGCACTGTGCTACATACTTTAGGTATATGATCTTACTCAATCATCATAATGACACTGTGAGGTAGTTTTATCAAGATCTCCATTTCACAGTTGAGGAAACAGGGTTTTATACAAGTTCAGTAATTGCTTTGTTCCCACAGCTGGTAAGGAATAGGACCAGAGTTGAGCCTAGGTCTAATAGCAGAACTCATTCTTTTAAGCACTACATTAGACTGCAGGAAACTCACTCTAGTCCTGGCTCTAACCAGGCAAGTCATTTGATAGTTCTATCTCAATTTCCTTGTTAATTAAATGGGTTATTGTTACTTGTCCCTACCTATTTCACAGAGATATTAGGATTATAAATGAGAATGTGTGTAAGCTTTTAAGAAAGAAAATTGCTGTATAAATCTAGCCACTGTCGTAAGTTGCACTCAGATCTTCCTTCTTCCACAATCATAAAGGGGTTTAATTGACATCATTAGCTCTCAAACATCCTCTGAAGTGGGTAGTATTATTATCTCCACTTATCAAAAGCTGAAGCACAAGGAGATGATGTAAGTTGTTAGTCAGTGGCAGTGCTGGGAATAAAACCCAAAGATTCTAACTCCCACTGCTTTATGTTTTTATGGTAAATCCTATTTCTGTGTTTCAAACTTAACTGTAAAATTGACATGGGTTAAAATATTAGTGTCCACTTCAAAACACAGATTAACTACTTACATAAATTAACTTTTTTATTGCAGTGACACTAATAATCTTTAAGGGTCTTAATCCTCACATTCTAGAGGAACTGTATAAAGAATAAAAAAAATCAATTTCCCAACTCTTTAGTTTTCTCAAATAACTTACTAATCCAAGGTTGTAAAACTGGGTGAGTCATTATCTAATTTCAATTAGTGAGCCTATAAGTTTCCATACGGAACATAAAACCTCAGTATTAAATTGTTCCCTCACAAAATCAGAACAAAGCATCAAATACATTTTCACATACCAATCTACAATATCCTGAGCTCAAAATTCAAGTTTCAAAGCAAACTGCATAATTAAAACAAAAAGTACACATGGCACCGTTATGATTAGTCTTCTCCTGCATAAAAACCAAAATCAGTTTTGTGCTTCCCACCCAAGCCCCACTCAGAAACCTTAATGTAAAATAAAAACAGTAATAGGCCAATTCTGTCTACCATTCTGTCTTAATAGGGAATCAGTATTCAGTCTAGTCCCCAGATTATTAGCTCTTCCGAACTCTTGTTTTCTAGAAAAACACAATGATCTTTCAATTATTACTAGTTTGATAATCACATATTTTGAATTTATCACAGTAGTTAGAGAGAAAATAAGAGAAAGAAATTTCCACTCTCAAACAGAACTATATATCAGAGTCCACGGACACTACATCATTACGCTCTGGCTCTGACTAAATTATATTTACAAATTAAAAAAACTTGTCATTTTGTTATAGGAACAAAAAATAATTCATAGCAACCTAAAAAGCTGTTCTACTAATGTCAAGAGTTAGCTTCTTGAGTGGCTTCAGATGTCTAAATTCACTCCTAGCTACCCAGTGCAAGTCCTACCACCTGTGCTATAAGGAAAAGTAAATGATGACATAGACTTCTGGTTTTTTCAGAGGTTGTTTTAATACATTAGTCCAGCTTTCCTTTGAGAAAAATCTTTGTCTTGGTTTCTAAACAATCCTATCTTATGTTCAGTCAGGTGTGCTAAGGTTTCTCAAACTTTAATGTGATTATGGATCACCTGCAGATCTTGTTAAAATGCAGAATATAATCAAAAGGTCTGGGACTGCACGTCCAACCAGCCCTCATGCTACTGCTTGACGCACCCCGCTCTGAGCAGCAGGACTCTCAAATGTTTCCAAATAGAAATAACCTCAATCAGAGGCTTACTGAAAGAAACCAAACCAAAAAAAGAAACAAAAAACAGACACAAAATACAGCCTCCTCCAAGAGTGTACAAAGGGAGATAGTATTCCAGAGACAAAACAAGGTATTTGTTCCCTTCCCCCTTTTTGTCATTTTTATCAGCTAGTTGAAAACCGAATGTAATAGCTTAATAAAGGGCATGTCCTTGGTGCTGACAATTTATTGGGGCTTGTATGGCTGAACATAAAACTTCAAGCCTTTTGTAATAAAAGAGTTGATTCAAAATAAATATTTTAAAATTATGTCATGTACTAATGAATAAGCAATGTTTACAAATATTTTATAAGAGAATCAGTTGGGATTAATAATTTTCATTTCTTTCCTCAAATAAATAGCTCATGTACTAAAGAAGACACCTTTATTTAAGAAGGGGGGAAAAGCCCCCCGAAAATAAAATCATGCTCTCACAGCATAGTCATATTATTAATAGTGAGGAAAATACCAAGATTAAGACATAAGAAGTATATGAGGAGAATTTCATGGTATTAAATTTGTCCTAGAACTGGGGGAAGCGTTCAGGAAAAGAGAGCAGCTGGTAAATTTAAGGAAGATTTTGAACTGGAAAAAGATTACACATGAGAGCAATAGTCCCTTCTCCTTAAGAAAACTAATTACTCCCCACAAACTTAAAATTTTAGGTTTTCAATAATGCTTTCTCTTCATATGACCCTTAGTCCAACCTCCCCCACAGAATTCAAGCAACCATCATAAAAATTAAGTTGGTAACAGGTTCAGCTGGCTATACTCCATGTTTACCCTTAAATGCTTTTGAAGCCAATGAGGGTAAACATTCACAATGGAAAGAACAAGATTAAAAAAAGAGTCACTTCTCTTCGCACAGAAGTAAACTGCCATCTTGAGCACCTTTCCTCACTCAGCAGGGAAGGTGTCTCAATGCTTGTGTGCGCTCTTCAGCCCCATGACTGTGAAGGTAGCAGCCGTCAGTTTCTCGTACACAAGGAACATGAGAGCAGCAGTGAGAACTGTCTGCAGCAGTTTGGCTTCAAGGCCTTTGTAGAGCCCCATTATTCCAAAGCGCCTAAAAAGAAAGAAGTTTGAAAAAAATTAAAGGTTTTTTTTTTTTTATAAAAGTCAATTCCTATGTCAAAAAAACAGGCCACTACCCTAGCTGGTGTGACTCAGTGGATTGAGTGCCAGCCTGCGAACCAGAAGGTCGTCAGTTTGATTCCCAGTCTCCCGTTGGCACATGCCTGGGTTTTGGGCGGGGCCCCCAGTTGGGGGCACACAGGAGACAACCAATGGATTTTTATTTTTCTTTCTTCTCGCTCATTGATGTTTCTTTTTCTCTCCTTCTCCCTCCCCTCCTCTCTCTAAAAATAAATAAATGAAACCTTTAAATAAAAAGAAACAGGCCATTTGGACAGCTATTTTGCAAAGGTTTACCTTTCAGAATCAAAACAAGCCATCTTGTTTTGACAACAGACTTCTGTTGTCAAAGTACTTATTACCTTTAAAGGTATTTGAAGACTGATTAAAGTTTAGTATTCATGAGCCACCAATCTTTTGTCTTTATAATCACCATTAATTAGCAGAACACTGACACTATCCCAGATAGGATGCAGATCCTAAAACCATCTTAATGACAAGATCTGAGATCTAAGAACTTTTAGATCTTTAACACTCTCCCAGCTCAGTTATTTCAACATAACAGTCCTTAAGTGGCAAGAAAGCTGCAAACTGGCTTGGATCATGTTAGCCTCAAAGGAATTAGAAAAAGTGACAGAAATGAAAGCTACCCCATATTCAGTCTTCCCATACATGTGATCTTCTAACCCAGGGGTTCTCAAATTTAGCATACATCAGAATCACCTGAAAGGCTTGTTGAACCACAGGTCACTGGGTACACCCCAGAATTTCTAATTTATTAAGCCTGAGATGGGAGTCAAGAATTTGCATTTCTACTAAGTTCCCAGGTGGAGACCAGCCCTTTGGTACCAATGCTCCAGCCTCAGAGAAGAATGCTTGGGCTACAACCAGTCGCTCAGAGTAAATGACTTTTCCACAGCTATTTGTTAAGAGTGAGCTGATCTCATGTGCTAGTTCATCAGCACCTCTAGGTCCATATAGAGCCTAAACACAGATAGTACAGCTGATCAAGTGCTCCACGCACAAACGAGTCTATACTTTATATATCTGCTATGTGTGAAACCCTATTATTTGGGGCAAATCATGTGATAAATAGGAATGAAGAGCCTTGACTCATATATTTCTAGTTCATTAATTAACGTGAATTATGTTCCCCCCAAGGAAGTCCACTTCAGTATTTCTCAAAATGAAGTCTGCTGTGATAAACATAAAACACGTATGTTGGTCTCTGTCTCTGGTTCCTGGCACAGAGCTCCTACAACTCTTGTAATTACTTGAGTGATAAGAAGACCGGGAGTATCTCTTGTTCTAATAGTTGGTTTTTGACCCTAGTTCCTGACAGAGTTCCTAAATCCCTTGGAATATCCTGGGTAATTGCAGTGTCTTTTATTGCAATGAGGTGACCCCTGGGTGGGCTCCTCAATAGAGGAGAGTGGTGGTCATCAGAAAGACCAAGCCATGATTAGAGGCTTGGAATTTTCTGCCCCCCTCCCCCATCCTTGAGAGAGGGGAGAGGGCCAGACGAGTAGTTGATGGATCATGCCCACGAGATGAAGCCTCCATAAAACCCAGTAGTATAGAGTTTGAAGAGCGCCCTGGTGGGTGAACACATCTATGCACCAGAAGGTTAATATACCCCAAGTCCATCAGCACAGTAGCTCCTATGCTCAGGACCCTCCCAGACCTCACCCCATGTACCTCTTCAAACAGTTGTTCATCTGTATAATCACATACTTTAATAAAATATGTGTTTCCTTGAGATCTGTGAGACGCTCTTGCAAATAATCAAATCCTGGGGGAAAGGGTCATGGGAACCTCCAATATGTGGCCAAGTGGGACAGAAGTTATGGATAACCTGAGGACCTATGGCTTGTGATTGGCATCTGAAGTCTTGTGCGACTGAGATCTTAACTGTCTGATCTGACACTATCTCCAGGCACATAGTGTCAGTATTGAGTTAAATCGCAGCACACCCAGCTGGTGTCATGCAGAATTGCTTGGGAAAACCCCCCACACATTTGGTGACCAGAGTGTCAAACGGTAGTGTTCTGTGTGAGTAGTACAGGAGAGATACCCAGCAGTGCGGTAGCTTTTCTTTATATCCACTCATATCAGAATTACCAAGGTTTGTTTAGAAATGAAGATTGCCAGATCTCACTCCAGAGGGGAGGCATCAATCTAAATTTTAACAAGTACTTCAGGTGATTCCTGATCAATCAAAAGTTTGGAGAGGCTTGGCATGTTACAATGCACTGTCCAATAGGGTTGCTACTAACCACATGTGGCAATTAAAATTAAATTTTAAAAATTCAGTTTCTCAGTTGCACTTGCCATATTTCAAGTGCTTAATAGTCACATGTGGTTAGCAGAAGCCCTACTGTAGAGTACAGATATTTCCACCATTGTAGATGGAATTCTCTTCATTCATCCAATAGTTCTTCAGTGCATACCAAGCCTCTGCGGTTGAATATCTGGCTCTGCCTCCATCTCTCTGGTGTTGGGCATGTCATTTTCTTTCTCTAACCCTGTTTCCTAATCTGCAACAATGGGAATATAGTCCCTTTCCACACTCACATAGCTGAGGGAGAACCAAACAAGATAAAAGATGTGAAAACATACTAGATTTGAAAACTGTATTACCCTATAGACTTCAAGTTAACATTATCTTCTTAAAGTTCTTGTTAACTATATTCTTAACTCCCACAATGCTAGTAGAAATGGAACTAGGTGTCACTGTTTAAGATAAATTTGGCTATGTCTATCAAAGTTTTGTATGTTCAAGCTCTTTAACCAGATAATTCCACTTTAAGGAATTTTCTCTACAATTACAAACACTGAGGTGTACAAAGCTAAATGTATGAGCTAGTCATTCAGCAATTTTATAAACTGCAAAACCTGGAAAAAACTATGCATCAATAAGTGTATTGGTCAGTAAATTATGGTATATTATGTAACAGAAAACTAAGTAATCACTATAAAAAATAAGATACTTTAAAAGTAAGATAAATTTATAGATATTAATGTGAAAACGGCAGAAACACTGACATCAAAATTGATGAGTTCAAAAACTGTTTTGAGCAGTGGAATAAATGTCTCAATAGGTGTATTGAGTCAAATGAAGAGTACTTTGAAAGTGATTGAAGTTTAAACATGTAAGAATGAATACACAATTTTTAAAAAATAAATTGTTTTTTGGGGGGTCCTCCCTTGTATATATCCTATGTACTCTTAACTGTTAACAGGGACTGCCTCTTGGGAAAGGGAGAAGAAAAAGAGAAAAGAGTAAATGTACATGTATCTATAGCTTTATTGAAATTTAAATAATTTCAATTTGATGCGTTTTGACTGAGGTACACATTCACAAAATCATCACCACATTCAAGATGGTGAACATATCCATCACGCCCCAAAATACCCTTACATTCCTTTGTAACCATTAATCATTCCCTCTCTCTCCTATCTGGGCCTCATGGGAACACTGATCTGCTTTCTGTCACTAGAGATATATGCATTTTCTAAGTTTTATATACCTGTGTTATGCCATGCATACTGCATACTCTTTTGCCCCAATTTTTGAGGGAAAAATAAGGATGCACATTATACATGGGTATGATTACATACCAACGGTAGAATGGGTATAACAATCCTGTGTATAATGTGCACAAAAACGCAGGTGTGCATTATACACAGCAAAATATGGTAAGCAGAATCATGCAGTATGAATTCTTTTACAACTGACTTCTTTCAGTTGGCATAATTATTTTGAGATTCATCCATGTTGTTGCATGAATCAATAATTTATTTTTTTCTCAGTAGTATTCCATTATACAGAGATATCACAATTTACATATCTATTCACCTGATGATGAACATCTGAGATGTTTCCAGTTTTTAACTTACAAATAAAGCTGCTATTAACAAGTGGTGTTATAGCGCACCAAGTCCCTAAAATGAGAAATGTCTGAGCACAGCATCCAAGGGAGAGGTGTCCAGGCTGCCACTGTCAAGGCAGTAGTGCAACTGAAACAAATTCAACTGCCCCTGGCAGAGGGTGCTGCCGAAAGAGAGGACAGAACGTGAAACACCTACAAAGCTTACCTTACTCGCTGGTGAAGAAGATAAAGAACATTGCGAAGACTCCCTAATGTTCTGTTTTCTGGGTTGAGTCTGTGACGTCCAAACTGGAAAAGAAGAAGAAAAGAAATCTGTTTAGTATTGCTTTCTTTATCTTAATTTCTACCTGCAAAGGAAATTCTGTTGGGAGTGATGTCTTACATCATACAGCAATAAAAATATCCAACTGATATGTAGATTTCATTAATCCTCTATTTTTCAATGAAATAAATGAACTATTTTAAATGATATAAGTGAAAATAAATATGCTTCAATGAAGCAAGCATGTGAATTATGGGGAAGATTCTACCTAAAAAAAAAAACAAAAAAAAGAAACATGCTCAGTAAGATATAGATACTGCTAGTACGGCATAACTTCCAGTTTTTTAATAAGTTCTGATAAATATTATACTAATTAATTAGAACCCCTACAGTGTAAGCTCTTCTTCACATTATATATTTACATTATAAAAGTGTCAAAATATGTTATTTGAATGCTACTAAATTCCCTTATATTAAGTACCATTTTTTACTTATTTTTTTAAAGATTTTATTTATTTTTAGAGCGGGAAAGGGAGGGACAAAGAGAGGGAGAGAAACACTGATGTGCAAAAGGTACATTGATCAGTTGCCTCTTGCATGCCTCCAGCTGGGGACCTGGATTGCAACCCAGGCATGTGTCCTGACTGGGAATCAAACTGGTGACCTTTAGTTTGCAGGCTGACACTCAATCCACTGAGTCACACAGCCACGGCTTAAGTACCTATTTTCAAATAGTACATTAATAAAAATACTTTTAACGGAAGGTAGTAACTTTTTGAACTGAAATACTCTCGCTATTACCCCCATTTTATCCATTGATATGTCCTTTGAATTTTTTTCTCCAAAGCAGAGCATGACTCTTTACCTTTCTCATCTCTCCTCCCCACTGCTACCACTTTAGTCTAGGCCACTATCGCCTCTCACTTGTATTACTGAATAGCCTCCTACCCGATTGCCCCCACCTTTCTGTTAGCCTCTGATCAATACATCACCATAGCCACACTAATCTAGAATTGTACTGGGTTGCCCAAAAAGTTTTTTTGTTTTTTTTCCATAACATGGCTCTAATAGCACTTAGTTGTCTTTGACTTCATTTGAAATAATTTTGTCAGATTGTATTTTGACAGTTGTCATATCAGTGTGCATTTAAAAAAAAAAGCTTATCAAAATTGGTGAATTTTTGTGTAGTCATTTTAATATTGAAGATGGAAGAAAATATACACCATTTTCAGCATATTATGCTTTATTATTTCAAGGAAGGTAAAAATGCAACTGAAACACACAAAAAAGATTTGTACAGTATATAGAGAAGGTGCTGTGACTGATTGAATGTGTTAAAAGTGGTTTGCACAGTTTTGTGGTAGAGATTTCTTGCTGGATGATGTTTCCTAGTTGGATAGAGTAGTTGAAGTTGATAGAGATCAAACTGACACATTAATTGAGAACAATCAACATTCTACCACACAGGAGATACTCAAAATATCCAAATCGGTAAAGATATTGGTGAAAATGAAAGACTTTTTGGCCAACCCAATAAATCAGATCACATTACTCCCTAGTGTAAAACCCTTCAAAGGCTTCCCATGAACTTAGGATAAACTCTAGACCTTCCCTGCTACTTTTCCAATCTCATCCTGAGCCACGCTCCAGCCACAGGAGCCTCCTTTCGGTACCTAGGATTCACCAAGCTCTTAGCACATCATGTTCCCTCTACCTAGAATGCTCACTCTTTGCACAGCTGGGTCCTTATCTTCATTTAAGTCATCTTCTTTTTTTTTTCCAGTTAAAAAAAGTATTGAATTTAAGAGAGAGAGAGAGAAACATCAAACATCAATTTGTTGTTCCACTAATCACTGCATTCATTGGCTGATTCTTTCATGTGCCCGGACTGGAGATTGAACCCGTAACCTTGGTGTATCTAGATTATGCTCTAACCAACTGAGCTATTCAGCCAGGGCTTCCCTTTAGGTCTTGATTTACATATGTCTCCTGAGGAGCCCATCCTCAATCATCTTAACTATCTAAGAAGATCCCTACCATGTACCTTTCCACTAAGTCAAAGAAAGCTACTTACTTTCTTTGTAGCTCTCTTCTCAATTTGTAATTACCTATTTATTTTGCTTATTAACCTGTTAATTCTCTCAATTACCTCCATGAAGGCAGGGATTATGACTACTTTATCACATGTACCCAGCTTTTCACACAGAATGGGCACTTAATAAACATTTCAATAAATAACTGAATAATCCACAAACCTAAAAGTGTTCCAAAAAAGCAAAGCAAAATCATTAATTACTCTTAAATAAATTAAGGGAATCAACCTCAGATTTTATAAAGGATAATCTGCCCCAGGGAACCAAGGAAGTCAACCTGATGAGAAGGAAGCAAACTTAGTTTCCTGAGTCTTTTAAGAACTTTTTGCCACATTTAGGTTTTCTGAGACACTGTGTTACCTAAGAAATTGCAAATGTAAACTTCCTTCCAAACCAAACAGGAAACCAACTGATAGCCAACCTGGTTAACAGAATATAACACAAACAAAAAAAATGAATGAGGAATGCTCTGGCCTACCAACTGACTACTGTATTGCTTTGTTAATATTAACACTGCTTTAAATAGAGAAACCACGCATTTTAGAATGTTGTTCAACTAAATGCAGGAAGGACCCCAGCACTCACCCTCAGAATTGACTGTACTGTCTGCAAGGGATAGGTGACCGTGGTGGCAATTGCTTTGGCTACTGCACCAATGATGAACACATCCAAAGAAGAAAGCTGGAAAGCAAAGAAGACAAATCATGTCAATCCAAATGACAAGAACAGGTGATTACTGTTTGCTGCTTTCAAAATCAGGGATTACCTTCGGTCTGCCTGGTGTGGGCCAGGTCCCCAGTTGGGGGCATGCAAGAGGCAACCGTTTCTCACTCACACAACAATGTTTCTCTCCCTCTCTTTGTCCCTCCCTTCCCCTCTCTCTAAATATAAATAAAATCTTAAAAAAGAATTTAAAACAATCAGGGATTACCGTCGTTCGTTTCTTTAAAAGCTGCCGTTTTAAACCTTCATAGAACATGAATTGGATGGCAGGATTGAAGACCAACAGCAAGGAGGGAAATGTGCCATTCCATAAAGACAAGATTCCTTCATCTCGAATGATCTGGTGAAAAGCATCTAAACAAGAAATCAAGGTACATGACGACGATCCCTTAACTAGAGAAGACAAGGTGAATTCTGTTCAAATGTACCTAGAGTAGAAACCACACTGGTCCTATCTTGTAATGATATTTTAGGGACAAGTTCATCAGTTAACTACTTTTTGGTAATTATCAGACACTGACAGTCACCAACTTATTGAGAGACAACTTCAATTATAGGGAACTCCTCCTGAAAATCTGGGATCAGAATGTCAAGTTTTCCTAAGTAATCATCAGCACCACTGGTAACTGTGTATTATAGAGAATTGTGAACTGATAGCCCATGTGTTTCACAACAAAGGCCAGTAAAACAAAAGGTAAGATAGTTCCTTAGAGTCTGTTTTACTGGGCTGACTTATAAGAAAATCATTGTTCTCATTATGAACACGGGAAAGGAGAACCTAGCAGTGCAATACTATTAAAAAGCAGAAGCTCATAGATAGCAGACATTAATCTGGTTTCTTTATCCAAAGATTAACACTAGAAAAACAAGTAGAGTATATTATTCTTCAGATATATTAACCCCTCCCACCCACACTCCATGGTAGCAAGTACTTCTCTACCCCTTGTCTTTGGGCTTGGCCACATGATATGCTTTGGCCAAGAGGATGTCAGCAGACAAGTTGCAAGTAGGGGCTTGAAATATGCTCATACGATTGGGTGTGTCCTTTTGTGCATCGCCATCAATAAGAGAAAAAATATGCTCAAGCTGGTCCTAGGATGATGATGAGACACATGCAGCTGAGACTCTCAGGCGGAGGACGGCCTAGATGAGCCAAATCCTTGTCAATCCACAGACATGTGAGCTAAAGAAATGCTTACTATTGGATGTTGAGATTTGAGGTTATCTTTTATATAGCATTATTTTAGCAATAAATTCCAGATACAAAGAAAAAAGAAAACCCTTCAATAGAAACACCCAGAAACACTTACCAATAATACCTCTATAGTTGGTTGGTACAATGTCTTCATTCCTAAATTTTGCCCCCTGCAGCTTCAGTCTGGTATTTACCACCCAGAGTGGGGTTGTCAGTAACACATTCACCACTCCTTTAAAAAGAAAGAGGGAGAGACAAAGGACAGCAAAATGTAACTTTTTAAGCTTTGTTGTCCTATATAAAAGCTACATATCCATGTTCCATCTATACTTCTGCCCCAGACCTACTAGGAGACTTAAGGTAAGGCGTCTCTTTGTGCTAGTGAACAATACAAGCCACTATTGTTAGGAGCAATTCAGAAGCCTTGCTAATAGCAGAATGGCTAGCAGTAGTACCTTTCCACGTGAAAAGAGTAATAAGTTTCCTCATTTGTGTAAATGGAGGCAATCTATTATATAGCATCCAAAGTAGCAATTCTGATATAGTTTTAAACATAACTTTTCAAAAGCAATTTTAAGAGACGTAGCTTACTGATCACATGCTAAGTCCATGACAACATCAGATAAAACATACAGTTTACAACTGTTCTGTAAGTGGCTCACATAGTTTTAAGTGAATATGGACCTGGTATAAAGGGTGACAAGTGGAAGGAAGTGGTGACATTGCAAAGTGCTTCAACAGGGACTAGATCAGAGGATTATCAAAGAGTTCCTCATCACTTAAGAAATTAGGACAGGCAGGCAGCAAGCAGTAGTTATGAACTGTCACAAAACACCTAAAACAGCTTTGCAAGCATCATGATCCTTACAAGCTTAAGGATGGGGATGCTGGCCCCCCCAAGGTTGCCTCAGAGTGGAACAATACAATGGGCCAGGTGCTTCTTTTTTGAAAACACATGATCCTAATTTAACACCATCTTGAGATATTAATATATTCCTCATCAGTCCTGAAATGATCAAAACAAACAAACAAACAAACCAGATGGAGTTGTAACAAAGTACCTGACACATAGTACATACTTTATAAATATTTGTTAAATAAACATTGCACATATAAACCAATGAACAAACTCAGTGAACCACCATACATGGAGCTATATTAGACTAGCTCCGCTGTGAAAAACCAAGAGGTGCAATTCTGAGGAAGGGAAATCACTTTTATGAAAAATCATTGAAAAACAAACAGGAGAAAGAATGTTTTTATTTAAGGAATCTCAAAATATACCATACAAAAAACACAATCTAACCAAGAACAAGCTTGTGCAACAGCCAAGAGATTAAAATTGTTTTCAATTGTTGCATACAATTGCAAAAGTCAAATGTTTTGCTACCTCTCTCTTAGAAGGATTACAGAATACATTTCTCACAATAAAGGACATTATTAAATAATTTTATGAGTTGCTATCTGTCATATTTTTATAGAGTCACATAACACTAAGGAGTCATCTTTAGTTATGACTCAATATATTCATACATTGTCACTTGAGGCACTGAACATAATCTGAATAAGTCTCACCTAGAGATTCTTGCTGGTCTCATTTTGAAAAAGCACCAGTGTCCAAGAGGCCAAGATAGAACATCAATACATGCCCATATGCCCTGACTTTGTAATGTGTTCCTATTCAGTGCAAGGTACACATCACTTAACAGAAAAATCAAGAGCCAGAAAAAACAGACTAAAAAGTGCTACTGAGTAGACTACTTTTTTTTTAAAGATGAAGAAAGGAGAGCTCAGAATCAGAGATCACAAGCATCCATGGATACTGTAGATAGGCAGAGGATACATACCTTTCTAAACAAATGAAATAGGTTGCCCTTTAAATAAATTCTTTAGAAATAAAAATTTTCTTGATGTGCTATTCAAGAGGTAGGTACACACAAAACATATCAGAGGAAGTGCAGCCAAGATTCAGATTTAACCATCATATAAAATTCTGTTTTCATATCCCCTTTATTGACTGAGCTGAAAGACTGAGAGGATACTAAGGACAATCTCAAGTACAAAAATGCACTACATCATTTAAAGAGAATATAGAGTCCTTGTAAGAACATTCCGTATTTCAAAGCTTTTTATCTGAGAAGTTCAAGTACTCTGTTCATCATCTAAGCCAAAATAGATAGAGATTTTTTAAACACTATAATTTTATGAGTTCTGGGAAAAGACACTCAAAATACTTGAGGATCCAAAACTTTGCTGGAAGCTTACAGCCTTTGTTATCAAACAAAGGACAACATTTCATGTTGAAAAACAACTATAAATGGTCATGATGAGTGATTCCAACTCTTATTAACGTAATGATAAGGCTGAAGATAAAGGATGCTGTTTGCTTATTTATGAGCCTGTGTAGAAAACTCTTTTTCCAATTCCAAGCTGTGGCTATTACTTCAGCTCTAAGACGGGAATACTAATTCTTTACCTACTTAATGACAGGAGATTGATTTCTTTCCAATTTGAATGATTCTTTTTTTTTCTTTGTAAAAGAATCATTTCTAGGAAAACAACCAAAATTAAGAGATGAAGAACAGCAACTGAACTCACTCACTAAAATTATTCACTGATTCAAGGAATAATTGGAACACAGCTCTTTACTTCTGAAATCTTCAAAACAAAGTTTCATTAGCAGCGAGTCTTCTTTGGTAAGGAGAGAAAACAAAAATGAAGTATGTTAACTGGCTATGTACTTCTGGGAAATGAGCACAATAACCACTGATGTAAGAAAATGGTAGATGAAGACCATAAATCTAACCATCTGCCTCCCTGGGAAAGAATGCAGCTAGATACAAAAAAGGAACAAATCTGTCTTACCAGAATTAACACTGGAAGACAGGAAATGAATATGAACTGTCTCAACAGTGATAACATCACACTGTCATTCAAAAAGTTATCTGTAAAAATCCCAATTTCATAAAAATGATCAGTTATCTTCTTCATTTAAGTTATCTGCAAGGTTCTTTCCCCAAATTCTTCCCCAGGGTATCAAGCTATATGGGCTTTCTTCTGTGGAAAAAAAAAAACCAAACCCCCCAAAAAACCACCCCAAAACAACCAACCAAAATAAATTTCTAAGTTTCAAGTAAAATTTGAAAAACAACATTGGTGGGCAAAAGTAGATTTATAGTTGTTCATATGGAAAAAGACATGCAAGTTATAATCATAATAATACAAGAATAAACTGTGTTTTGTGCACTCACAACTGTATCCCTACTTTTGCCCACCCCAGTACTATTTTTAGTTTTCCTGGGAAATAATGAAACTCCTTTCTACAGTGACTATAATACAGTGACAAGGCTCACAGCAGGAAGAAAAAGCTATTCTAATTCTTGTAAGAATGCATAGGTATTAAGATATAAAAACATGTTATAAAAAGTTTGAAACTCACAAAAGTAAGTTCCAAGGAATTTCCTACCTTCAGAAATTCAGTTGACCAAGGGTCTCCACTGTGACACCACTGACATTTTGGTCTAGATAGGTCTTTATCTGGGGTGTGTGTATGGGGGGGAGTCCTATTGTGCAGGATGGTTAGCAGCATCCCTGGCCTCTACCCACTAGGTGCCAGTAACACTCCCCAGTTGTGACAACCAAAAATGTCTCCAGAGATTTGCCAAATATTCCCTGTGGGTCAAATCAGCCTCAGTTGAGAACCATTGTTCTAATTCAATCATCAAGTGATTATTCACTTTACTTTTGAAAGTTTAAAACAACAGAAATTCATTCTTACCCCAACAAACTGTTTTTTCAAAGAGCTGTTAGAAATTTTATTTTAATTGATATTAAATCTATCTTCTTAAACAACTGGAAACATGAAATTAGCTAGTAAATTATTTTTACCTGAGATATGAATTAGCAATTCTGAAATGACTTTATGTGTATTGTGATCCTGGCCTGATTCCTTTGAGTAATATAGAACAAGGATAGTCCCTCCCCAAGTCATTTATTCACAGTCTGCTCATCAAATATATATTGTATGTCTAGTATGTGATCACCTCTGTTCTAGGTGCTGACAATACAGCAGTAAATAAGAATAAAATCCCTACCCTCATGAAGCTTACATTCTAATGGTGTAATAAGACAAGAAAAATAAGTAAAATACGTAGAATGTTAGAGGGTAAGGTTTAAGGGGAAAAACTTTTTTAAAAAGATTTTATTTATTTTTAGAGAGAGGGGAAGGGAGGGAGAAATAGTGGGAGAAAAACATCAATCAGTTGCCTCTCATACATGCCCTAGCTGGGAACAAACATGCAATCTAGGCATGTGCCCTGACCAGGAATAGAACTGGTGACCATCTCACTTTGCAGGATGACACCCAACCAACTGAGCCACACTGGTCAGGGCTTAAGGAGAAAATTTAAGTACATTACTGGGATGTCTATATCAGACATTGTGGCCATTTAGGGGAAAGACATTAGAGGAGGTGAGTCAGTGAGCCAGGCAGTTACCAGGCAGAAGAAACAGCAGGGGCATTGCCCTGAGGCAGAAGCATGCCAGGACAATGCCAGAGATGAAATGGAAAGAGGGAGAGCACTTGCACTATTTGGATAGGGATATTCTCTAACTGCCTTGACCTGTTAATGCACAGAATTAAGTTAATAGGTTGATATATCTTCAACTCTCACCACTACTTCAGCTAAATAATGGATAAAATGGGAAAGAAAATAATTGACTAAACAACATAGTTTATAATTATGCAATTTCTCCATTATAGTAACTCTACCATCCTTGATCATCAAAAAATAAGTAAATTTTAAGTATTTTTTTTAAATAAAGAAATTGGTAAAACACCAAAGGGAGAGAGGGGGGGGGGGGAAATAAAAAAGAAGTGTGCCGGGAATGCTCAGGAGAAGAAGCCAGTGTGGCTGCAGTGGCGTGGGTGAAGAGAACACTAGGAGGGACAGGTCATACAGCGCTTTGTAGGACAAGGTAAGGACTTTGGTTTTTATTCTGAGTAAGACAGGAAGCAACTGGAAGGCTCTGAATAGAGAAATAATATGATCTTGCTTATGTTTTAACATGGTCACACTGGCTGTTGTGTTGAATACAAACAGAAGGGGACAAAAAGAAGCAGCAGAACATCAGTTAGGAGGCTCTGAAGATAATCCAGTCAAGATTTTATGGTGGTCTGGACTAAGGTCATAGTGGAGACGAGTGGGTGAACTGGGTACTCTATGAAGAAAG